GCAGAATTATCAAATTTCTCCTATGACTTTGTATTTTGTTGGTAGATTCCCAGGTGTATAAGAAAGTGGAACTCACACTGACTTTATCCATGCTTGTACATTAATACTCTCTTTTTCCTATCTGGATTTTTTGGGTGTTTGCCATCTGGATTATGGACTGTTTCTTATGGGATGAGCTGTATACTCAGGGGAAAATAGAGACCTTAACTGTTACCCATTATATTTGATGTTCTCACTGACATCAGATATTCTACCTTTTGCACAGCTGCAGACAAAACAGGAAAAAACAAAACAAAACAAGGAAGCTGAAAATAAGTAGGGTGGACATAATGGACATAAGCACAAGTATTATATGGAATGAAATGTCAGAGAGACTGAGAAATGTGTGATGGGCACTGCATACATGTAGGTAAGAGCTGAGTACCGTTCTCCAAAGGTGCTGTCATGGGGCATTGTTGCTGCTATTTGTATTAAAAATTACTGTTTACAGTAATTTTAATTTTAATACAAAGATTTTGTATTAAAAATTACATTGAAAAGGGGGAGAAATTTTCTATAGATGCTGTTCAGAAGGCAGGAGGGAAGCAGCAGCTGGAAGTACTTTTGTGTGCGCATATTGAAGAATGTCTCTTATTACACAAACATGGATTTCTGGCTGCAGCAGTTACAAGCTTCACTAGTAGCAGCAGCAATCAACATATCAAGTGAAGAACAAAAGGGTGACTTTCTATTCGCCTCATTATGTCTGTGTCATTACTCCAGCCAGACCCACACAAAAAGTAGGTAATTGAAGTACTAGTGTGAAACCTTTGCTGACAAATTCTGCAGAGAATGCTAGGACAGGTAGCCTAGTAGGACCACTATTAAAATACTGTCTCCAGTTCTACTCTTTTCATTTCAAGAAGGGTATGAATATATAAAAGAAAATTTACATAAAAGTTGATCTTTCTAGTGACTACTTTGATTTATCTTTGGGGACAAATTCTACCCAATGTTTGGGTAGCAAGGTTGGGTGGCTGTTGTCTTAAGTCTGACCTATGAATCTCTAACCTTTGAATGCTCCTGAGTAAGTCCATCTTCCCTGGAACCTGGAGAGAAGAGGAAACTGCATTGCCCTCAATCTGTCCAGAACTCTAGCAGCTGTGATTAAGGTAATGACTATTACAAAAATCAGCTTGGCCTGTCTTGCCTTAGCTCAATGAAACCATGAAGCAGATAACTGCAGTGGATTTGCCCAAACAGCTATATTTTTTTGATGGGTTGCCAAAACATCTCTATTGCTCTTCCAAAACCTCTGCAAATCAATAAAACCATTTACAAAGTTGATGCCTTCACATATTTTCTCTGGAATTGACAGAGCCAAGAGCCTAAACTTGTGCCATCACATTCAGCTCTGAAATCGCTTGATCTCTTCATCCAAATATTTATAATGGAGGGGGTACTGAAGAAACTCTTAGAAAAAAAAATCTGACATGATCTAACATGAAGTTACAGAGGACTCATCATTTGGTTCCCAGGGACAGACAGTTGTTGAGTGTGCTATTCTTATGGGAACACTCACCCTAAATATGAGTTAGACAAGCGTATTTTGGCACGTCTTCTTGCATAACATAAGTTACAGGGATTTCTCAAGTTGAGACAGAATTTTTACATTTGGCTTTGGAAAGTGACATTACAGATGACACACTAGTTGAGGACAATGACCTTTGGTAGTTTCAGGGAAAATATGCCATGATGAGATTCTTTTTCTGATACATTTCTTTTCAAATAAAACATATGGGGCCTCTTTGTGTCCTGAAGAAACACTATGGATAGTGCGAACATTGTAAGGCTAGCAGCAACTGAAGAGCTCCAGAAAGTAAAAGGCATTTTCCACAAAACCTTTACGGAGCCTGTTCTCAGGGATACAGGACTACCACAGAAGTAGGAGAAAAAGCTAAATTACCAGTGGTCAGTTGGTAACTATTTCTATGCAGGAAAGTGATAAATGAAAATGTGATGATGAAGTTCGGCCTCCACCGCTAAGGAGGCACACGTGTCCAGGCAGCTTTACCTAGAGGAATTCACAGTTCCAGATACCAGACTTGTCAAAACCTCCCACCTGTTCATTGCTATTAACTCCTCGCCATATACAGTCTTTTTAAAGAATCTGTGCATTACCTCAGCAGCTGAATGGGCTTTGAGTCAATTCCAGCATGAAGAAGCTGCAACAGCTGGATATCACCATTCTCTTTTTAACCCTGCAATAGTGTTCTAATGCTATTTTAATGCTTAAGCAATACTAAAAAATTGGTCAGACTATTAAATTTGCATTGTGGTAAATCCAGGTACTTTTGTATGTTTCTGAGGTAAAATAATCACAAAGGATGTTTTCATGCCAGGAATGATTTAGTCTAAAATTCCTGCCCTTACAATGGAAATAAAGTGTTCACCTTTGAAATATTTCTAATTATGGACCAGGGCATAGCTCCTGCTGTTGCACTCAACATAATTTTAAATTGCAAAGGTCAGATTAATTTAAAAAAAAGTAAAAAAAGAAAAAGAAGGCATTTTGTTACAGATTACTATTAGCATTTAAAATTCTCTCATATGGCTTTTCCAGTCTTTCCTTCTTTTCCAATATGCAAGAGCAAATCACTCATCTCTTTCCTAACAAAGATTTCCTGCTATGGTGCTATAAAGACATACTTGAAACTACCCCACTGGAAGATCCAAGCATACCACAAAACCTTTACAGGACAACTCTGTCAATCTGCCATATGTAAAAAACAGAACAGTCAGCAAACAAGCACCTACTGAGAACTGGGCTAGATTGAAAGCCCAGGTCAGAAAACCAGAGTTATGACACTGTTTCATAGAATCATGGACTCACAGAATGGTTTGAGTTGGAAGGGACCTCAAAGATCATCTAGTTCCAACCCCCTGCCACGGGCAGGGACACCTTCCATTAGACCAGGTTGCTCCAAGCCCCATCCAACCTGGCTTTGAACACTGCCAGGGATGGGACCGCCACAGCTTCTCTGGGCAACCAGTGCCAGTGTCTCACCACTCCCACAGGCAAGAACTTCTTCCTAATATCTAATCTAAATCTAGCCTTTTTCAGTTTACAGCCGTCCATGCTTTTCCTATCCCTACCTGCCCTTGTGAAAAGCTTTTCTCCAGCTTTCTTGTTGGCCGTATTAGGCACTGGAAGCTGCTCTAATGTCTCACCAGAGCTTTCTCTCCTGAGACTGAACATCCCCATCTCTCTCAGCCTGTCTCCAGCCCTCTGATCATCTTCTGGCCTTCCTCTAGATGTTAAGTTGTATACAATTTCATACCTACATGGTGGCTGAACATCTCTCGACATCTCTGAAGACCGGTTGTATTCTAAAACATAGTAAATGCTGCCATCTAATGGTGTTTTATCGTTGAACAAAAGCTGTGGGCTCATTCCAGCTCGCAACCAACAGAATAAACAGTTTCACCTCAAAAGCATCACTATCCAGCATAGACACAAAAGAAATCCAAGCTGGGCAGAAGCAGGTCTCAAGAGCCCCACCAAGTGTCTCTGCCTCCCACTGCCCTGTGCTGCAGACACTGAGTGCAAATTACTAAGTTATCCAAAGAGGTCTGCACACTTTCATCAACTTTTTCTGAACAGAAGCTGATTCTGGAAGTAATAATGCTAGTTCAAACCATATTGTAGTTGACCTATTTAACTCTCAGATTTCGTGTAACTTTATTTTTCCTGCAGATAACTTAGGTTTTACTATATCTCTCATATTTTAATAGTATTTAACAAGGAATATTACAGTAAAAGTTGAGTAGTTGCCTTATTGTTTCTGCTATTGGCTGCCTGAAAATGCTATTTTCCGATTCCCTGTAAAAAAGAAATCACTTACAGTTTTCTTATACTTACAGGTAGCTATTTTTAAAAAATTGTACTACTGTTGTTTTACCCCTCTAATAATGTCTTGTAAGACACTGAAACTGAAGACACCCCTTACAAAAAAAGACAAAAAATGTGTTAAGCATCTGAACTCTTTATTGAAGAATCTAATAGACCTATTTCACTAGTTCTGAGGCCACCATGGCACTTCACCTGACCAACCTAAACTGCAAAAACACAGTATAGGTAATATTAATACACATTGTTCGTACATGGGGGTTTTTTTCCAAAACCAGTGTAATAAATATTTCCTCTAACTTTAATAAATGTTGTCTTGTAAGATATACCATGAACTCTTTTTCAGATTACTGAGTAATACTTTCTATCACATCTGGATGAAGTATACTGATGGAATGTATGTACAGCAATTCTTAAGATTTTCTGAAACAATACTTCCTGCATAACATCCTTTGATTTTGGTAACTATTATGATCACAATTTTCATACACCAAATGATACAAAGAACAAACAACACACAATCTTTAAGCACAGACACCTGACGATGATATGTTAAATTCACTTAGGTGCATATGTAAAGACAGCTCAAAAAATCTTATGAATAAACAAATCCATCCAAAGGCACTAGGAGGAAGGTGGTCCCAAGCAACATAGAAATTAGTGGCTGATTGTACTCAAGTGTCTTTAATGAGCTCTTTTACAGAAAATGCAGTAATTATTTTACTACAATAACCAATTTTTCAAACCAGGCTTTATCTCTAAAGAGATACACATTGTTCTACAGACTTGCGTAGAACAATGTCTACGTTGTTTTTATAGCTACAATAGATCTTTTACAGATTACTTCTGTAAACACACAAATATGAGGTAACACAAAAAAAAAACTGGTGTAAAAATTAACTCACCTACTCCAGTAGCTGAGAAAAAAAAAATCCATAGTTTGATTTTCCTCTAATATTTGACATAATTGTCCAAATCTTAATTGTTTCAAGGAGCATTTGCAAAATAGAGCAATCACAATACTTAAAGGCTGACAGCATTATTCAAAATTTGAAGTATTACGCTCCATCTGAATATTTTCTCCACCTGAAAATAACTGATACTGGTTTAGTCAAAAATGCTGCAACCTGGGGCAACCTGTTTCAGCAGTACCATCATAAAATAAAGGGAGAGATATGGAAGATCTTGTCCATGATTTATCTAGCTTCCTACCATTATCTTCATTAAGCATTGTTGCAGTAATACTTTCCTTCTCACGTGTTCCTTCTTCAAAGACAGCACTGTTGTGGTGTTTATGATGGTATAAGAAAGGTTTCTTTTTAGAAGAACACTGCACCAAATACCTCCTGAAGGCCTTTTGAATAATAAGAGCTGATACTTCCTCTTGTTTCCTTTTAAGGGTAGTAGTAATAGGGTTGCAAGAAATTTTAGCTGGATCATCAGCCATAAATTTTTCTTCAATGTGCGTTTCAAGATCACCCAAATCTCCAGATTCTCCCCAAACCCTTTTAGAGAAAGCAAGCAAGACATCCAAGCAGTGGATCTTATCTCCACTAACTAGAGGAAGGTCCATGGATATGAGCTGAATTTTATTAGGCTTTGGAATGCGTAAGGGTTCTGCCAGAGCATCTGCAAAGTCTGAAAGAGCAGAATATTCAATAAACTGTGTTGCCTGAGGATCAAATTTTCCCCAGGTCTCATAAAACATATCAAAGTCATCCTCACAAAGAAGATTTGTGCTTTCTTCAGTGGCAATATTGAAGTTCTCTAAAATGACAGCTATGTACATATTTACAACAATAAGAAATGATATAATGACATAGCTTACAAAATAAAAAATACCAAATCCCTTACTTTTGCAATTTTTTTTCTGTTCACTTGTTAAATTTAAATTGGGAGCACATGAATTAGATTCTTTTAACAAAGGGGCCAGAAGACCATCCCAGCCAGCTGATGTTGTAATTTGGAAGAGACAGAGAATGCTACTATCAAAGGTTTGAAAGTTGAACAGGTTATCAATCCCACCTTCCCAGCCAAGACAGGCAAAGTTTGTCATGCCCACAATGGCATAAATGAACATAACCAGAAAAAGCAAAAGACCAATGTTGAACAGTGCAGGAAGAGACATCAGTAAGGCAAAAAGCAGAGCTCGAATTCCTCTAGCTTGTCGAATTAATCTCAGAATTCGGACAATTCTTGCCAAACGAAAAATTCTCAAAAGTGTAGGAGAGAAGAAAGCCTGAAAGCCTTCAGAAAGTCCAGTACCTTTGAAATGAAAAAGAAAACAAAATATTGTCAAGCCATTATCAGTGAAATTTCCTATTTACATCTATTTTGTTATATGCTATGCTTTAGGTGTTGAAAATAAAATTGATCATATTATGAAACTTTCAACAAAAACATCATCATCAATATTGCAATTGCTTACAGAAGAGCTTAGAAAAGAAAGACAAATTGTAATAAGTGTAAATATTGAAGAGGTATCAAGATTTCATATAGTTTGGAGACTGCATTTTCCCAATTTTTTCTAATTCAGGGGATAAAATTATGCATTGCTTAAGTACTAAAAAGTCCTTTAAAATCCATTCAGCTCGTATGTTGGAAGCTATGGGGCTTGTCTCTGAGCTGCTGTCTGAGTGCTGCTGCTTCTAGAGGACTAAACCTCATGCTAAATGTGAGACTTTCATTAATGCTTGGTACGTGAATGACATCAGAGAAAAGCAAGAAGAAAATAAAGGAAAACTATCTTTCAGTATTCATCCTCCATCACACCTCATTCTATGATCCTACTATCAGAATAATTATGCAGTAGTAATGTAAGTAATTACAAACCTAGGACTTAAGAAGTCAGAATTTTCATAGAATCATAGAAGTGTTTGAGTTGGAAGGAACCTTAAAGCTCATCTAGTTCCAACCTACCTGCCATGGGCAGGGACACCTTCCACTAGACCAGGTTGCTCAAAGCGCCATCCAAGCAATTTTTCTGGATTGCATGGGATAACAAAGGGGGACTGTGCTTAGGGATGAGGCAGAGAACTCAGATCAGTTTCTTTCCCATCCTTTTTTCTATGACATAACCTGAGCATGGTAGGAGGCATAACTGTACAAGAAACTAAAGCTATATATGACCCTTTGCAGGGGAAACAATAAGCATTTAGACTTAGTTGAAAAGCAAAATAAAACCAAGCCAGTTTTAATGACTTTCACAGTCACCAATAGTGGCCCAGATTTAGAGTGGTGCTGAACAATTAAATTTTCCTGAGGTTTCTGAATCAGTCCTCAGGATCTGCTTTCTTAAAAGAAAGTCCTGGAAAATAAGATCTATCTTTTCCATTTTTCATACAAATGTATTTTTAACCTGAATTCATAAAAACATCAAGAGAAAAATTTAAGTACAATAACTTAGAAAATATGTTACTCATTAAATTCCTATTCGATTAATTAGTCAATAAATTTCATACTAAAACAGAAAAATAAAAAGTTTAAAACTATGTATTTACCTTTTAGTATTCTGCAAAAAATGTAAGGAAAAACAACAATAAACCCTTTTAGAAAGAATCACTCAGCATATGGTTTGAGAAAGTACAATGGATCTGGAATGTTTATCAGATACATATAAGTGGTTACTTCATACTGAAATTTGGCTTAGTATTGCTAAGACGCATTACCTGATCTGATAATGATTAATACTTACTAATTAATGAAAGGATCACAACAGCTAAATCAAATATGTTCCAGCCACACATGAAGAAGTAACGACTTAAGGCTAGTATTTTTATGGCACATTCTGCAGTAAATACTGCCACGAAAAAAAAGTTGATTTTATTAAGAACATTCTTGATGTTGTTCTGGTTATTTTCTGCCATCATAACGACCATATTTAGACAGATGAAAACCGCAACAGTAATATCAAACGCTTTGTGCGATACTATGTCAAACAGCAATCCTTGGAACATATTCTGCAGAGAGAATGAGAAGAACTGCTTAATGCTACTTGAAGACCCAGGCTACATTCAAATATTAATCAGTAACTTACTTATGCTTAGAAAGAGAATTTAAGAGAATATAAATTTAACCATAACCTCCTACAAGTATTTTTAGGTAATTCCTTTAGACCTTCAAAGAAAACACTCAGTATTTGGCTAAGTATTTTCAGGCATCATGCAATGACATTT